AACAAATAATCATGCCTGTTCCCTGAGCTTGGCTATCCTCGGGTCTAATTCCCTCTGCATAACTTAAGAGTTAGATTATTTCAATATGCTTTAAGCTGTGCTGTGGAGCAAGTGTTATCTGGTGATAACACCACCTCACAGTGCTACAAGATTGCTGTTTGTCAGGAAAAAGCAAAGTATATTATCTTTATCCATTTTATATACTATTCTTTGTTCTTTTAATGTCATTCTAGTTCAACTTCAGTTTCTACTACTTGTATAATAAAATTGACTTTGATTCTGCAGCTCTGAATCTGAGAAATGCAGAGTGACACGTTCCAATGTATGTCATGTATTTCACCTGCTCAAAGATATTTCATTCCTATAGGCTGAACCTTACCATGGTCTAGTTTTAGTACTTTTATTTCATTTTATCTTCTGCTTTAATGTGTTTAATACGTCCCAACTTAATAGCTCTGCTCAGTGCCTAGCAATGCTGTAACAGATAGGCACCAAAGAAATAGAATTTACTGTGATAGTGTTGAGTTTAATTACTGGGGAAATCTTCAAGATGGCCTTCAAGGTACAGCTGTCAACATAGTCAACACTGATACAAATTCTGATTTCTTGTTGCACTACTGTCTTTGAGCATTTCATGTTGTGCACAGCATGTATTTTAGCAATGTGCCAAATTCAAAATAATAATAATAATGTCAGCCTAGAATTTAAATGTGGTGAAAGCTCTTTGCTTTACTGGCAATAATAAAAGCAAAAAGCTCTTTTTAATTTAACGGGACAAAGGTAAACCAAAACTACTCATTCCTTCCCTCTTTTCTTCAAGTGACCATAGCTGTCCCTTTAACTTGATGGCTGAATTGAGAACAGTGTCCTGCTTACAGCAGGATGGGACCAACAGGTGACCTCCTCCAGCCAGTAACTTTGCTTCTACCCCAGCAAAGGCTTGCTTTCATCTGCAAAGCTCCCTGTAACTCACCCACATGCAAATGCTTCTGACCTTAATTAAAGCAGTTCACCTCCCTCTGCCTGAAGGGATGGTTTCCTCATAAGGCAGTTGTGTTTAATTAGCATTTGCATAGCATTCTGCTGGTTGCTCTCTGGGAGTGTTGTTCGGTAGGAGCGTGGGATTGCTGAAGCCTGACTGGCAAGCTTTGCACCCTCCTAATTGACAGAGAAGCCAAGGAGAAGTTACACAAGGAAAGAACAGAGAATCGTTAATGATGGATCATTAGCAACTAGCTCCTTTGAATGAATGTAGATAACTTTATAACTCTATCAAAGTGAAAAGTAGCGTGATGAATGATGCGTCAAACAATGAAAGCTCAAAAAAGACACTGTTTTTTATAATTGCTGTGCAGTTTTCTAGCGTGTTCTACTTTGTAAGACTAATTTCTTTGGGAAGCGTGAAGCATTTTATGCCTGTTGTACACTTAATATCAATTTTGTTTTCCTCTCATTAGACGTTTATTCAATGTCTTCTGCTATCACTGCAAGAACTCCTGGGATTTAAGGCAGGAAATTTTTACACTAGCAAAAGTTTGCACAATCAAGTGGAAACCGTGTACAAATACTGATCATTTCCTGTGGGAATCTGATGATTTCTTTCTATAAAGAAGTGTGTGTTCTCAGTTACACATGCCAGAAATAAGATTATTTCTAATTTGTTTTTATTTTTTATAGAAATTGCCTAATACTATTGCCTATTGCCTGGGTATTGATCTCTCACATGGGATTTCCTCTGAAAATTGAATTATGTTCAAACTGAGTTGAATTAGGGAGATAAGTTAATAGAAAAATTACCCCCAATTTAGCTCTCACAAATATTAGTGTGTGAAAGGTAGAGAGATCGAGAAGTCTCAAGGATCAGCCATAAATTCAGCTATACCAACTTAATAATTCCTAAAGGCCTGATTGATAGGAAATATGTAGACTCTTTACAAGACCTCTGTCAGCATTTCACTGCCCCTACCATGACTAAAGCTTATTTTCTAGTACCTAATTTTGCTCTTACTTTTGCAATTTAAGCCAGTTAATTTCTCATCCAATATGAATATGAAAAAGGGTTTACTTTCGTGTTGCATAAGGGTCACAGTTAGAATTTTTGAAGACAGTTCAGAAGACAATATTTTCTACTGGCCTTCTCTTTGTTCAGTCGTTCATGCCTTTGCTGATCATTTTGGTTGCTGTTCTGCAAGAAACTCTTGGGCTTCATGGCTATGCGGTGGAGGACCCCCACTAGTCACCATTCCAGCTGTGACCTGCCATCCCTAACAAGAGCACAATTATTATTTCATGTGTCCTGCAGGCTTCTCTCTTTTTTGTACATCCCCACATGACGCTAGAACCTTTTTTGCAACAACATGATCTTGACTCATATTCACTTTGTGATCTAGAGTGACCCCTAGCTTTTTCTACCTTGCTGATTGTCCCCTGCCCTGTATTTATGTAATTAAATGTAGCTTCTTCCCCATGGCATTATTGAATTTCACCCTGTTTTATCAGACCATTTCTCTGGTGAAGCCTGGTTCATTGTGAAATCTATTTCACAATCAGTTTTAACTTGAACTCCTCTGAAACCTGAGCAGGTACAGTGTGAGTTCCATCACCTGACCCACTAAAAAATACTGATTAGTGCTTCATTCTCAACGGATTCCTGTGGAGCTCACTTGAAGCATTCTCCTGTTTTAGAAGACCCCCAGCAGCTGTTCTCTGAACATGATTTCCCACTCAGGATTGTGCCTGGCTTTGGATTTACCTAGACCATGTTTCTTAAGTGATTCTAAAATGTGTGTCTGCATTTACTCAAAAGGGAACCTAAGCATCTAAAAATCTATATATCTAGATTATCAGCATGTGAAGTTAGGTGGGATGTATCTCACCCTCAGTGCTTCTTCTGGTAGACATAGAGGAAGCCGAATGAACGTTATTTTTCTTAATAGATACATCCTGAATACTTTCAGTGTGATTATTTTCTACATTATTTAATATCACTTGAAGTTTAATGATTTGATCTGTAATTCCCCTCCTATACCTGCTATACTTCACCTCTGCTAGGAGCGTACTCATTAGGAACATACCCAATTAGCTTGGAAAAAAGTTTTCCTAAACATCCCTTCTCACATCATTCTCACTTTGAAATGAATACCTTTGTTAAACATTTGATTACAAGTGATCTGCTTAGGGAAGACTGTTGCAAAAACAGCATAATTTGGCACTCCATGTGGCCTTATTCAGCAGTTCTGCTCAAATAAACATTAGCTCAAGTAGTCAGCTTCCTTACTCATCCTCTTACAGGGTGACTTCTTGTGGTTTGTTTCCCTTGCAAGTTGATGTCCTGTTATTCCTTCAGAACTAAGCCAAACTGTTCTGTGTATGCATTTCTTTGCATTTCCAAGTAAAGCTGTAGTGATATGGGGGAAGATGTAAATACATGTGGCGTTTTCTGTAAAGTCCTTATGAGGGTATAATGAAGGCCGTAAGTATAAATAAAAGAGTTTTTCTGGCTGTTGTCAGAAGCATCAAAAGTTGTTGAATTATTTATTAAAGAAAAAGTTTTTAAGTGATAATTCTGGAAATTATCATCCTCTGTTTCTCTGTAAAACAGTCTTTTTGATCTCAGAGTAAACGTGTGACCTGTTCTTTCTTCTGAGACTGACAGTAATAATATAATTACTTGTCTGCAAAGAACTGCATTGAAATCTTTCTTCAATTCACTGCAGAGGATTGCTAAAAACTAAGATCAGAATACCTGAAGTAGACACAAAAGTTTTTGTGTCATTGCCAACTTCCCTATGAGGTTTCCACCTTTGAAGTTATTCTTGCCCAAAGTAAAGAAACCATTGTTAAGTCTCATATGGCTGCTACTATGTTTGTTTTTTTCTTGAAAATGTAAAACAAGGTGAGGAATACTGTTTCTGAGCATGGTGCCAGTCCTTTATCACTGCAGGGTAATGATGAATGCTGCAGAGGTGCTTGAATTGTCTCTTGCTGGAGATGGTGCTGCACGTGTTCTGCTGGGAAAGCAGCAGCAGTGCCTTTACATGACTTCTCCTTGGGTTCTAATATTTGTCCTGCCTCCTGTTGTGAACAGTGTGAGGATTTCTGCAGCACATCCCCCTGTGTGGATTTAGCAATGTCTATGTTGCTAGGCTAGCAGAGTGGTAGACCTGGGATGTAATATTAGTCTGAGAACACCTGAAACACATACCGCTGGAATAACTGTCTTAATGTTGGACAGATATTCAGCAAATCTGGCTTATTGCTGCATTATTATCGACAGGAATTTGTTTAGTCTTTAATTCCAGAATATAACTTTTCTGTGGTAAATAAGCACTGTCTTGTGGTTTAACCCAGCAGGTGGCTCAGCATCACATTCATTCACTCGAAACCCCCTGCCCAGTGGAATGGGGGAGAGAATCAGGAAAAAAAAAGAAAAAAGTAGAACTTGTGGGTAGATAAAACTATTTACTGTGATAGATAAAAGGAAAAGGATAAAGAAAAGGATAAAGCGATAACTATATATGTATGTATTGGAATAACAACTGATGCACAAGCAATTGCTCACCACCCCCCTCATCAATGCCCAGCTAGACTCCAAGCAGTGCAAGAGCCAGATGAACTCCCACACCCTTCAAAACTCCTTCCATGTGATGACATATGCTATGGAATATCCTTTTTGCCAGTTTAAATCAGCTGTCCTAATTCTATTCCCTCTCAGCTCCTTGGCCCCTTTGCTGAGAATGGCCTTGGCTCTGTACAGAACTGCTTAGCAGCAACTATAAACGGTGTGTTACCAACATTACTTTTCTCCTAGAACCAAAAACACAGCATCATACCACACTCTCTGAAGAAAAATCCATCCCAGCTGAAACTAATACACGCTGTGTTAAGACTGCTTTGAAAATTACTTTTCTTTAAACTAATGTAAACATTTCAGTATTGATACGGGCAGTAAATGTTGAAAATAATTTCTTTCCTATATGTTTGTTTGTTTGTTTTAACAGGGCCAGGTGTAAGATATAGTGAATTTGTTGTGTCACATCCCAAACCACCTCCACTTGTTGGACAGCATACAGTGGAGATATTGAAGGGCATGCTTAGGTATGAAGATGATGCCATAGAAGAACTGCTCCGCGCTGGTGTTGTGGCTCAGCATGAGGTCAGATAAGGAACATTAGCTACATTCCTTCACACTGAGCTCACATAGCTTTGTCCTCTCTTTGCTCCCTTCAGCTCCCCTAATGGGACTCAAAGAGAAGACAAAATTTAATTCTTAATTTACTTCCATGTGCGTTTGTATGATTTTAACACTGATGTATCAAATAAACAATTTCATACTGTCCAAGCGAAAGGTTTTTTTGGGGGAAGGAGGGTTAAATATAATTATATGGCCCTATGTGGCTACTCATTTTCTGTATATCATATGGGAAATGGAGTTCTTATCGTAATTACAGTAATTGCCTAAGTGTTTGTCCCCAGAAAGATATTATGTTAGTGAAAAGAAGCAGAAATGTAGTAATTCTTGTACTAGACTCTCCCTTTGCAGAAAGCTGACTTGCACAGTTACTTCAGTGGAAAACCAGCCGTGTACAAACTACTGGTTGATCTAATTGATTCTGAACAGAACCGTCAGTCATGAACTTTTCATCTCTATTGTAAAGCGCAGGTAAAGCGACCACTGAAAAAGTCTTCTGTTCCCTGGTAATACCAATTACTGGCACGTCTTCATATTACATTGCATGATCATGACAAACTGAACACGTTAACAGAAAAAAAGCTGGAACCGATCCAGTTCTTCAGTTGTGAAATGAACCTCTGATTGAGAGATAAACCATGATTGAATTCTCTTTTGTAATTTTATTCAAGAAGGCCCCAAGTGCTCTTTAATTAATTGATCCACACGAAATTGCATGCCAAATGTCATATGCCAGAACTTGCCCAAGTTTTTGGTCTGGTTGTGTGAGTAGGTACTGATATTTATCTCTGACACTAGATGCCATCCAAAATGCCTTTCACTGTGAATAAAACATAGCTTAAATACAAATCTCTGCAAATCTTCTGTCTTAGTCCCACCCATGTGATTATAACATGGTCAGAGTAGAGTAACCTTCATCAGTTAGTAATACCATATCCTGTAGTAGGGTTGTTCTGTGGGGTAAGGCACCTTGTATTGTGAGCAGGTGAAAAAATTTGATCCACTCCAAATAGTAAGGAAAAAATTAAAGAAGACCCATTTCTTCTATACAAACCAATTTGGCTGTACTTCACTCACAGAAGAAATGCCATGCTCTTCTATCCCAATATATAATTTGCAGGTAATGTAAACTGTGTATGGGCAGACCTAGCATTTGTTGCGTGCATCCTGGGAATGAGGCAAAGCCTTTCTGCTCCTAGAACTGAATAAAACTAACTCAAATTGACACTTAACAAATAATGTTTGTATTTCTCCCTAAGTATCAGAAACAATCCTGGCATTATAACCAGCTTTTCACTTTGTTTCCACTCTAACAAACAACATCCTCTGCATTATATCTGAACTTCAGACTCTGTATTACCTTCTGGAGGAAAAAAAGAGGTCATTATATAATCAGTTTGGAAGTGGAACCCTACTGTGGTGGCTCATTTTTGAAGCCCAGTGTGTTTTGGTTCATTTGTTTGTTTGTT